TCGGGCTTCATAGCAGAAAATCGAAAGAATTCTTCGTAAACACTGCCATCCTTTTAGATGGTACAAAGTCTGTTAGACTTTCGGAAAGGTATTTGTCCTGGTAAATCAAATATTTTGAACCCACATTACCATTACAATTACCATTACCATTGTTAACACAAAATTGGTGTAGTTTTCAGCTGTAATTGATTCAAAGGCTCTTTGCAAAGAAGTACAGTACTGATATCCTTCTATCCTTCTGGCAGCCTCTTGATGTATAGTACCAGTGTAGCTTTCACTGTATTGAAGTTCATAGTCAGTGTCAAACACATTTAGCATTGGTGGTAGTTCTGACTGCATTGAAAAGGACTGTCTGGCTAATTGAGATAAACTTGAATACAACTGATTTCCAATATCCATAATTAACATGAGGTCATTGGTTGAATTAACTCCTTGTTTGTTATTGTAAATCAAAGAGCACAAACTCATTGCAACACACTGTTGTCCAGAATTTTGTCCAAATACTAGTTCATTATCTTGGCTATATTAAAGGTACTGTTATTGTTTTGCTAGGGTCAATGTTCATTGGAGCAGGAACAGGGTTCTTCTCTATGTCTGTACTCACTTTAAATTTACAATAATTTGGCATATCAAACTATTACAAGTAAACAATGATAAATACCGACTAGCTCTATGATATTTCGACTTCATTATCCTTTTATAAACCCCATTAGAGTAATTAAACAAAAGCTTCTTTTCATGTTGTGTGACTTTATTTAAGCTTATTCTCTTAGTATTCAGCTAACATTCATTTTTTGTAAGTTTTCTAATTTTCACATAACAATATAATGAAGCTTGGAAGACTTCGGTATACTTGGACGAATACGTTTGAAGATAAACTCTTTCAGCCTTCAGCTTTTGTTTCTTAGACTTTTCAGAGTTTGTACTGGTATTCTGCTGGCTTCACGATCATGTCTACGTAGATTTACATGAGACAACTGATTTGGTATAGCATGATCAGTTTATAGTCAGCGACGAAACCTTGAAAAAATCCGCCATTGCTCGTCCATGTGCTTATGTGGCGCATACTACGCATGCGCATACAACTTGCGCATGCGCTTTGAACGCAACTGCGATTCGTGACTGAACGCAAAAACAAAAAAAAACCAAAAAAAACCCAAAAAAAA